GAAACATTTTAAAATTACTTCGATACCGAAAGAATGTGACTTTGTCAAGATCGATGACTAATTCTAGTATATTTAACATTATCATACTTCCATACAAGGTACTTACGTAGAATGACAACAAACTATGCGTATAAATCAATATAGTTGTAATGTAAGTTTGAATATTAACAGTATTCTATCAATTCAAATATTGATTTTCAGAAGTACAAAGTTAGTTGTTATTCTGTATTTACGGTCATTAAAAAATATCCAAAAGTTAGTTATCTAAGAAATTCTGCGTTTGTGTGTATACTATATTATGGGAAAAGTGTAAAGGATAAGAATTGCATTTCATGCATATTCTCACAAAAAGACAGAATTAGATTAATAAAATAAACATTTTTGAACTCATCCAACCTATTTGATGGTTTAATTTATTCAGAATTGTTAAAGTTGTACAATTATGTGGAACGTATTACTAACTTCTGAAGTGTAGGTTGACATTCTCAAATTATTTGTCAAGTAATCAATTGGAATATAATCAGACCATTATAAAGATACAATTAATTGTTCAGTAACCCAATTTGTCTAAAATCATTTAAGTCAATTGCAAACATACTACACTAACCGTAAAGTCTCTTTATTGAGCTGTATCCAAGTGATAAAATGGTATATAACTTCATGTTACTTTGATAAAATTGATGAAAACTTGTCTACCTGATGGAGGATACATTGATAATAATAATAATAATACTGAAATTTGGTCTTTATTAATAGATAATATTCATAAGTTTTTACTTCTTGACCATAGATGATTTCGAAGCATTCTCCATCCTTATCGGGACCACAGATCCAGTAATACTGAAGTTAAGCACAGGCTAATATGTACTGAAAACAACTCTGTTGGCAAACGCAGTGATTCCTCGTCAACTGAAGTCGTTGGGACATGTATTAGGTATTCCAAACTGCCACATACCTGACTGGTATAGGAGTAGTTCGAATGATAGCTAAGGTCGATCAAACCAAGATGCGATATCAGCCCGTGAATTTTTCGACTATAGAATAGATTTCTGCTGGTTAGTACAGACCACCTGGTCGGAGTCCGCGTGAATATTGTAATTAGTGGTTGGATACTGGATAACTTAGTGAGAATCAGTTACAATGCTGTAAACTCGAAAATTGTTCAATACAGAACAGTGATCATCAGTAAACCAACATTTTCATGAGATATGAAAGCGATGATTATATTTAAAGAGGAAGAATGTATTTGTAAAATCTCAGCGAATGAATTTCAAGTAAATCCAACGTTTCACCTGAAAATCTGGTCCAAGCTTTTTAAGGAAATATAACCAAACATCAAAATTATCGAGTGTAAATAGGTATAAGGTTCTCTGGCTAACTGTATACTAAACAGGTCATCCAGTCAACGTTAACAATGTTTAAAGTCGGTGTTTGCTCTAGTGTATAAGAGACATCTGGTATGAAACGAAAAGTGTTAAGATAATAGACTATGTGTACAAGTAGGTGGTGTGAGAAGAAATTTCATTCACTATATATTGTTCGGTGAATTTTTAAGAATTTCCGATTAAGATCACGAAACGATTGATGTTAGACCACCATTGAGGTTAGGCGTTCGCACGCGAGACCGAAGGTTCTGGGTTCGAATCCTGCGGGCGAGGTCGTAGATGCTTACTGCTGGGGAGTCCCATACTAAGACGAAACGGATGACCAGTGCCTCCAGGTTTTCAATGGTGGTCGAACACCAGTCGTTTCATGATGTCAATCAAAATCTTAACAATTTCCACAACCCCATAGTGATAATTTTTAAGAAAGCATACAATTTTTATATATGATATGGATCAAATATGTCACAGCATGCATAAAATGAAGATAAATAAACAAAATAAAAGAGTGGATTCAAAGAAGAAGAATGTATTTGTGATTGAATGTTTGTATTTTGTTTTTTATTGTTCCAGTTAACTGTTTAATATATTCAGATAACAACTGATTAGAATCTTTGGATGTAATTGCTCTTATTAAGATAATAAGAGATAGATAACATGTAATAAGGAGTTCATGTTTGCTTATTAATCATTAGTTACCATGGGACAACTAATTGTATTCTATCTCTCCTATTAATACTATTTGGATTTGCCCATATGTGTAAGGCTTCAGCTGTTAGTTTTTCTTTGTAAGAGTTAATGCCTTTTTGAAGCCTTCTTGTGTCATTGAAATCAATTGAATAACCCAATCCTATTGAGTGTAATGCTATCACCGATTTGTTTTCGAGTTTTCTAATATAGAAAAGGTAATTTACGTTCAGGAAATTACGAATACTTAGTGAATTTGATTATATTTATCATATCTCATGGAATGCTTTTCACCGACTGAGTGACAAACGCAGCCTGTCACTGATTTAAATATTGAATTGTGTTAATAAAAAGTGAGTTTGTAATATCCAGTTCTCGTTTGAGGAAGACTAGTTGTGATTTGAGTTGATAGTCCCTTCTTTTCAAGAGGAGATTAATTGCAGAAAAATCAAATCTCTTGACAAACTAATAATATTCATCTAACATTGACACTGAAATTTATGGCAATTTTCCCATGTATATATTATCAATTTGATATCATTAATATTGCAATCCCCTATAGAAGTTTTAAGAGACTAGTTAGTTGTGAGTGTTAAGTTATAACAATCATTTAACTGAGCAGTATCCTTTACTGATCCCAACATTTTATACAGACGTGGAAAAATGGTCGTTCACATTAAAATTAATGTACATGGCTCTTATTTTGTAAGATGATATATAGAGTTCATAAAATCAAGACCCATTCAAACCTTAAACTAATACTTCATCTAGAATAAATTCTGCAGATAATATGTGTTAAATATCTGTATAATGACTGGATCTAAGATACCAAGATTTTATAGCCATCAATGGTTGAAAGCATTTTAATCACTCAACATTTTTTTAGTCTTAAAGTAATAATAATAATAAATAGTCTTAAATAAGCCTTCCATCGTTGGTCATCAATGCGCAATCTGGATCGTAAAAACGCCATACGAGTCAGTATCATTATATTTATTTTTAAGGTGATTATCTCTGTCCATTTACATTTTGTAATATCCCACATCTCCCAACACAGATAACAGAATATATATTACACAACGGGTTACGGATTGGTTTATCTGTCTGTCATGATCACGAACTCAGTAAATGGACAGACAATTGTTTAAAGATCCTCATCATATTTAAATACTAATGTTTGAATGAAGAATATTCTTTTCGATAAATTCTCCTCCGGTTTTACATTTATATATCCAAATTAATAATCCGAAAAATGGCCAGGTTAAGGTCGAAATGCATCATTTTCAAGTTAAAGCATATGAATTTAGGATTGTCAAACGAAATAGAATAAAACTGTTAATGTTGACATGACTCATAGAATGTTAACTTGAATCAGCTTATATGTTAATTGAATTTTCTCAGTTCGACTGCTCGTGTGGAGCAAGTTATATTGGTCGAAGTACTAGGAATTCACATTTTTGTGCCTCGAACACCTCCCGATGTGATTAAGCAAAGGCCTGATGAAGAAAGTGAACAGCTCGATATTGACCCATTTAGTGAAAACTGGTCATAATTTGAATCGTTTTCATGTATTTATTGGGTCAGTAATTTTTTGCCAAAACTTGTCAGACTTCAGATGGCTGAAGCAATGGTCATCCGGATTAGGAAACCGGAGCTATGGGCACAAAAGAAATATCGTCAACCATTTCTCCTCTCCTGTCCAACCTCAAGGCCAGTTAATCAATAGTAATCTTAGCTATTGAATGACCTAATTTGACTATTGTACTTTGTCAAATGTAACTGTCATCATCAGAATGGGGTTTGCGGAAATTGTAGTAATTTTAATAATTGAATTCACGAGTTGATGTAGGCTAGACTACCATTGAAAACCTGGAAGCACTGGACAGCCGTTTCGTGCTTGCATGGGATTTCTCAGCACTCCCGAGGAGTAATTGTCTCTGTTATCCTTATTCACAAATCTTTGGATTATTACTGGTTAAAAATCATTATTAATCTCCCCGATGATCCATTTACTTCTCATTCATCTCACTTTATTATGTCTTACTAACTTTTTGCCTAATATAGTCATCCACTTAACATTTAATCGAATTTATTCTGCTCATGGATCTAAAATTTTCAATTAACATATGACATGATTCAAGTTAACATTCTATATGAGTCATAACAAGAACAATTTTATTTTATTTTCAGTGTGGGGTTGTGGAGATTATTAAGTTTTGATTGAGATCATGAATCGATGATTGTTAGACCACCATTGAAAACCTGGAAGCACTACTTTGTTGGACAATCCTAAATTCAAATGCTTTAAAAATGATGCACCTTGCCCTTAACCTGGTCATTTTTCAAATTATTAATTTGGATATTTAATTGCGGGACAGACAATTGTATGAATCGCTCTTGTTATGATGACTAAAATTAAAAAGCCTAGAAAGAAAAACAAAGGTCGATCTAACCCACATAACCAATAAACATACACCTCACTACTCTTTATCTAGGGCAATGGTTAAACGTGTCTGTTGGTTTATTAATCTGATCCAAGGTCAAAGATGAATTTACTACCTTGTGATTGGCTAAACCGACATCATCGATTTTTGTAATCGAACATCTGTTTGGTCAAATTGTCGTTACTAATGACCTTTGTTTTTATTGGTTGAAACTACTACTTATTCATTGGCGATAAAGGACGTTCGTCTTTGAGAGCCTAACCCACTGTGGCACAAGTTGGACACCGTAGCTCCTCTAAATTGCGACCAGCGAGCTCCTAGGTCACCTCTCATTTGTTCGTGGTGATACTTCTTTGTTACACAGCAGCTTTATTTTACAAAACTCAAAATTACCTTGTTTTTATTTATTGTCCGTTGCTACAGCTGATATATTTTCTCATATATACCAAGTGATCAGATTCTGTGAATACAACTGCTATTAAAAAATATGGCCAAGGTCTTTAATCAGCACCAACAGTCATTTTCTTCTCAAACAACGCATTCCAATAATAATGGCTGTGTTGCATCTTTTTATACTGCCAAATCCAGATTTAACTTCCTCAGGGCACCTAAACGTACTATCTCGCAATACAGGCGATATCCTAGTCGTATACGCCGAGCTCAGAAATATGACCCGAATTCTGTGTCCAGCGGAAATGATTCTCAAAAGTCCAATATTATCGACATTCTATGTGATACGGCTGATTCGAAGCAAACTGCCCATAAGATTTTCATGAACCAGTATCCTTCGCATATTACTTCTGATTATAAACGTTCGCGCCCGGAGCTAAACGGTCAGTCAAACGAAAATTTAGAAGATATGTCAATATCTACTCCGGCGGCATGTTATTTACGTCCTTTACAACCGAAAAATAATCTTCGCTCTGATTTATCCAAAATATGTCACTCACATATAGTCTGTAAAGTAAGCATAGTTACCTTGCTTAAGTTCTATGTAATTACTCATTTCCTCCGCTAAACTTTGATAAAGATCTCTTGTGAACGTTCTTCATACTTCAAAGATAACTACAAAATCACAAACAAGGTATTACATCTTGTGGGGTCTTCGCATACTCATAGTCGAGTTTATTTTAAGCTTACTTGTTTTTAATCTGAGGTAGTTGTGCTAGGACAAGTCCAATGAATATGGGTTAAGACAATAAAAGGCCATCCTGTACTTCCTTATCATAACACATTTGAACGTTTTCATCTCACCTATTTTGCCGCACCTAAAGAGATGTCCATATATTATTTTACTGCATTCTGACTGGTGATTTTGTTATTAAGGTCTTTGTGTCTTACATCTGTGAATAACATGAGAGGACATTTATAAGGTTTAGAAACCAAGATAAAGTCGCTTAAATCTGTAAGTTTGTCCCTTATACCAAGCTGTTATCCGTTAAAATTCTGTTCAGGATTACTATTTTGTCCGTGTTGATACGTTTTTATCGAGTTTGAATCTCCAAAGTTCTAAGCCCATGTTTACTTGCTATCTATGTTTGTTACTGATGTCATGTGGCTACTGAGCTTCACATTCCTTATTGTTGTTTTCTCCATTGGTGGATGATTAGTCCGAACTGGTTCGATCATATCAATACTAGCCATTTATTGACCTTCTTTCAGGAAAGTTCAGTTAATAATTGTATAATATTTAGGCGTCTTTTGAGGCTTCCTCTAGGTTGCGTCAATATACACAACTTTCATTGTTGACTTACTTAAGTAACATGGATTCGCAGTTCTGTTGCATCCATTGCCAGTAACTTTTATATTATTAGTACTAACGTAAATATTCCAACCTATAAGTAGTCTTTTTGTTATATGAACCCCCTCGCTTTCTTTTTTAGCTCTCTTCACTTGATAATGATCGCCTGCGAGATCTACTCTCGAAGGAATTTATTTACCAACCAAACAATGCCTTCCTGTATTATGTTAATCCGGTAAGTGATACTGAAGCTAGTTGCTTATGTGTTTATTATATGCATTCCCAAGCAGAAATTAATCACTAGCATTGTATCTTTCTTAGCATAACTGTAAGTTAATGTTATCTGGTTTAGAACATCAGGTATAAGCGAAGAATATTGCTTTCAATTGAATATTAATAAGGATCTGCCCTATTATAAAATAATATTTGTGGGCATATATGAAAAGTACTGAACCAGTCAAGGGAATTTGCGTCCATAATTATAACACAAAGACATACAATCTCATTACTCCAGATACTAATTCATAACACCGATGAAGATCTATGTAAATATAACATTTCATTTTGAGAATAAAGCTTAACCAAACTTATTTAATTACCTCACTACCTATGAGAAGTTGCTTTAGTCTTCCCATTAAATAGAAAACTTTATTTTCAATGTTCTCAACTGATGTTTCGTTAATGTTCTTTTAAATTTTACCAATAGGAAGTCGATGATAAAGTCGACGCCGTACTTCGAAATGAGGCGGTACACAATCTGCGCTTTTTGCACAATTCATTTTTTAATCTGTCTACAGAAACATTTTGTAAAGCTGTCAATCTCATAGATCGTTTTATTGTTAAAGTCAAGGTGAGCTAAAATTAGTTCTATTAATTTTACCTTTGAATTTGTTCACTTCGAAATGTTATGAATCAACTGTGATTGCAGTGCTATGAAACTACATTTATACTCGCACTCATTTGAGTATAAAGTAATATTACATTAGTATCAGGAAGTTTGTTTCATCTACAGGGTCTTGTTCTCTATCTTTAACATAAACTACATTAGTGTATTTTGTTTTCCTTTACGCTCTATAATCTACGAAAATTTATAATTAGTAGTACGTGGAAAAAAATAGTGCGTTGAGCTTAATATTTGTTAATCTGTGTTTCCGATTCACGATTACCATATCCCCATTTCAATCTGATCGATTTCTTTCATTGTTAACTGTAGTCATTAATTTCGTGTAGTGATTAAAACGAAAACCTAATAGACATAAAGATTTATTTGTCGATTTTTGATTTTTGTAGCAAGCTCAGAAAAGCCAGCCTTATCAGTTAAGCGCACAACAGATCCTCCTAGACCTTAACTGTATTGATGATATATTAGTTCCTAAACGGGAATGATATTCAGCGTATCTGGTGTATTTATCCAACTTATAAAGCATTTAATAAAATGTATTAACTCTCTCTAGTCTTTCTGTTTTATCAGAGTTCTGTATAGACATTATTACAGTTAATTTATAGTACTTTGTGGTTAAACCAAATCATTTGTAGTTATGTTCAATCGTTTCATACTCTGGACATTCAGCTTTATATTACTCTAAAAAACATATGATCAGTGTGTCGACTAAATTAGCGAGATTTAGTTGGATTCTAAAACAGTTGTTTATGTACTTATGATTCTTTACTTATGTGGTCCTCTATTCCATATTATGGTACAATACTTTGATCATACCGAGTAGTAATTGGAAGATAGTTGTGTACTTTCGTGAGTCAAATAATCATTTTGGAGCGTAGTTTGTGCAGTATCAAGCATTTGTTAGTTAACTATTCTTGCGAATACTCAACAGTGTTGTCCAATCTAGTTCCAAGTATATTATTACCATACTGCTGTAAGCAAAGGATGTTTTTGGTGCCTCTTCGTTAAGTAGATAGGTAGTCACTGACCAGGGAGCTTTTAAGACAGTATGATCAATGCTTTTGAATGACAGAATGCCCAAACTGTCCGTCAAAAAACACCCATCTCCCGACACACCTTTGGATGTTGCTAATTGGCGTAGCATCAAACTCACAGGTTGTTTCACTGGTACAAAACTTGTTACCAGTGTTTTGTTTGAGTGGAGATAACTACCTGGAGGTACCAGATGCGGCTATTGCTTTCAGCTTGTTAACAAATTTCAACCACCAGGTTCCTCAGTTTTTACACAGGCTTTGTAAAATTACCGGACATAGGATTTCATGTGTATCACTAAACTCGTATTTTCCCGTAATAGACCGGGGTGTCTCGAGGAGTTCGGAGAGTCTGTAAAAACCCAGTCTTCATAATTGGGACTTTTCGTAAATTCGCAAGTCACTTGTCATTTTCATATCGCCATTCAAATGTAGCCTATGCTCATCTAAAGTTTTCGGTGAGCTGGCAGGATAGTCTTGAAAATAACTCGCTAATCCGCTTAAGGCAAGACGTTTGTAAGGCACTAGAATTCTAGGTAAGTTTGAGGGAGCCAAACCAGGATCTGGACTTACAAAGATACTTTAGAAGGAGTGGTAGTCTTATCTAAAGCCACACCAGCAATAGCTGGTTACGATGTGATCATTCTGAGTTCATACTTCAGTTTGAGAGGGAGGACGACCGGTAATACGTCAAAGGTAACTATCTAATGATGATACTGACCAGATGCTCTACTTCCGTGATTAAAGTTTGGTCCTCACTAACTAACACTGTTTTCATTTGGATTTACTGTTATCTGTTTGTTTTCCAAATAAGTTTAACTCAACTAATCGCATGCAATTAAATTTATGGGTGATCAAACTGAATTGCACACAGTATGCGTCGTAAGTTATTTCACACATCATAGTACCCAACGTATACCGACAGTCTGAAAATTTTGTTTTGTTCAGTACTCATGTTAAAATCGTTCAAATGAAGCAATATATATATATATATATATATATATATATATATATATATATATATATATATATATATATATAACCGAATTGATCATCCTTCAAGTATATTTTTTTTCCAGGTCAAACCTAAATACATGGCATGTGTAGCTGCTGCTTCTTACTGTGCTGTATGCAAATTGAGTAGCTCAAATAACAAGGTATGTTCATACTATTACCAGCCTTATTTCCATCTAGTTTTTCATGTTCAAAGCATTTGATTTCCAGCTATCAGTTCGTAAATTTGAACTGAACTCTGCCCACCTCAATTCATGCATCCGACTAGTGATACTAGTCGTCTCATAAAAACTTTTATGAGCACAGGGACTTGCTTATGGTTTAGCTACTTAATTTTATCAAATTAGTTGATACATCCTATTTTTATTCAATCATTAGGACATATGTACGAATTTGGTACATTTTAAAGACTACCTTATAGCTTATCATGAAATAATAATAATGTCTTCAAATCACCGTCATTTCACAAGTTTGTTTAAATTCACTTTATGTGATTTAATCTGAATAACAGATTGATGAATTGTTTGGATAATTAAAATAACCCATTGTGTCATTGAATAAAAATAAAGAGCATTTCGTGAAGGAAGTTTTCTTTTCGACGAAATCATTTACTTAAGCTGTACGTCCCTATATATGAAAAATATATGTCTATAAGATGTGTTTGATCATCCATTAAGCTGGAAATGTGATCAGTGTTTTCATTATCATGCAATTCTGCCCTATACTTCTTTACTGATAAGTTTTATGTATATCATTATAAAGTTTTCTCATCAATCCTATAAAGCAATTTCTCCTCAACATTGAAAATAAGCTCATTTCTTAAACTTTAGAAAAATCACGCCATTTTATTCAAGTTTAATTGCTACTTTAGGTTTATGTTTAAAAAAAAAACTTATTATTACTTAAATCAACTGACATAAATTATGAAATATATCATCGTATGTGCGTTCTGCAGGTTGATCTATTATTCACCAACAAGCTGGTCAGTTTAGTATGTCTGTCAACTAATATTCTACTCACTTTTTGAGTATATTCGAGTTTTTGTCAATTACAACTGTCAATTTTTCATTTAGTTGTTTATTTTATTTGCTCGCTATCTTTACAATACCTAATGTAACTAAATAAATTGTAGTTTTATTTATTAAACTTAATCAGTCCACCAATAAACACCACATGATTAACTAAACAATTGAAAATCTACCCCGTTTCTGTATTTATTGAAAGAGGATAGCTTTGTATTATGACAGTAATACAATCGAGTTCATTTGTTTAAATTAGCATGGGTTTGATAAAGATAATAAGTTTCAGTTCTTTTAACTGCAATTTTGTATAAAACATTGTAAATTTAAGAAGATTCAGGAATTAAGACAGAACCCATAATCTAATATTATAATAGCGGTCATACATAGTGTTCCTCGTACCTTAATAAAGAAAATGTAGTCGGTTGCTGAGCTAAATTGATCATCTCTAAATTTAACACTAGTCTGTAACTTCGTGCAACTGGAGTTTTTTGAACTGTTAAACAAGATATATTATTCTCATTAAGTTCATTCACCTATACTCAGTTTTTTTCTCTTATGTAAAAGGTACTTTCAAGAACCGCTTAGATCATTTAACTAAAATTTCACCATCGTGATTTAGGTACTCAATACTTGTGTTAGTCACACTTCGATGTATTTGATATACTCGTGTATATATAGATATTCGAAGTTAATGTTCGTTATATGATTGAAGTATGATCTTTATGCTAAATTCATTAACTCGTGAGTTAAAGTCAAAGTTTTCGGCTCGTAGGTACTTAAACATTTCCGCTAAATTCACAAGTGCACTCATCACTAAATAATCCGCTAAAATATTTATTGAATTAGAAGATAGTTTTCTCAATACTGACAGTCTAAAATTGGTACAACCTGACGACTTCGTGTACCTGATTAATGGTAACATAGTAGGTGTTTAAATTATTGTTATGAAATGAAGTGGGTTTCAACCCATGACGTTGTCAGTGGTTAAGTGTAACATGTACTAGTAATACAATTTCGGTAGTATGTGCGGCATTTCTTAGTATATATATATATATATATATATATATATATATATATATATATATATATATATATATATATATATATATATATATATGCCAGCTTGAATTTCGGAATGTCTATATGGCATTACTGTTCATTCGAAATTTTTAACGTCTACCATTTTCACCTGCACTTAGAAATAATTTAGTCATTTGTATTTTCGTTCCAATTTTTTTTCCAGAATGTTATATTGCCTGATCCAGAAACAATGGTACATATCACTCGTTGTGGTGGTAACGCTGCTGATTTGTTGCGTATGGAGGAAATCCTCGATTCTAAATTATCTCACGATCTTGATGGAGTAAATGCATTCGATTTCTTGCAACTTTTCATCGACTGTGTGACTAAATCTAAAAATATCATGGAGGACGAATTGATCAATGATGGTCTGAATATGAGTAGTTATTTACGTGAATCAGATGTAGAAAAAGTGTCAGAGACAATTAATATAACCTCAAGTGCACAGAAATCAGATGAGGTGAGAAAGAATCTCGTAACAGCTCGTCAGAAGGATTTCAGTTGGAAAGCTCTTGTTTATAAACGTTTGGGAACAGTCATGGAGATTGCATTGTGTTCGTTGGAAGTTTATCGTTTCCGTCCTGTTTGTTTAGCACTTGGAATTTTAGCTCAAGTCGGTATTGAAGGTCTTCTACCGTTGGCAGATCTATGTGGGGTCAGTGATTTGATATTTTCCCACTTTCTTTATCTTTTAGAAACATAATTATTCGAAGTGACATTAAATTGTTTACATTGGTCCCAATATCACTATTGTTTTTAAAGTATGCCGTGTGTAGAAATTATAGAAAGTGTTTGAAGAGTTTTCTCAGTTTATTAACCTTAATGTCAGTATTGATATTTCGAGCTTTATGTGTTTTTATTCGAGCCGAATTTCGCTAGCCAACGTATACATATATATTACGTAATCCATTACTACCTGAAAATGTACTGACCATGCTTAACTGCCCGTATACTCAACTTAGATTATAAATAGGCGTCAATTGCAAATGTTTTGATTTCTGATATTATAACTTGATTCAAGATTAATAAAAAGAGGAACTTGATAATGATTGTATGGGCGCCTGTTTTCCGATGTTCAGCAAACGATAAATGCTAACTCACAATAGGTTGTTGATGCTAATTTTTATAAATGGACATTCTTTTCAATGAAACTGAATGTATATACTAAAAGTGTGTAAATAGATGCACCTGTTTGTTTTTTTCAATGTCCCATTAAAATCCAATTTTTAAAACTAGATGTTGTAAACGGTTATTGTATCATATGTAACTCACTTTTGTATCACGTAGTATGTGAGGTAAATTTTTTTATTTTTCTCTTATAAATAAAATAACTAAGCGAAAATTTACATAGAGTTATATTGTACATCATTTACTCTTGCGTACAACTATATATGATCTTTTGTACAGCGTAATTTATTTCACTAATTATTACCATTGACTGCATATGATCGTGAAAAAGTAATTGAAACATGACAGACCAGTGTTATTAAGTGTAATCATAGTTCGAAAAAATTTATGAGGTGCAGTTGTAGAGTCATAGGTAGAGATACCGGATCAGTTGGTTAGGCTACTAATTTTAATCGACTTGATGGGTTTAGAGTGTTTACGTTGCATCCACATAAATGTGTCATCCTAGCTAGCATAGGATATAATAACAAAAAGATTTACAGCCGACTAAATCAAGACATCGGATTAGTCTATCATGCTATTCTTATTTGGTCTTAGATGACCGTCGGCCATTAGGTCCCAGTTTCGAACCCTGCCTCCTACTTCAGTTTAGATAACTTACTCTTACTTTTCACAGTTTCTGAATTTTATTGGTATTATTGTCTATGTGTTTTTTATGCACTACCATTGAGGTCAATATTTTGACCTCTTAGCTTTTCATCATGTTGATCTCATGTCAAGTTTGGCAACTTGGATATGCATGCTAATTATCATCAGCATAACCTTTTCATACGATTCCATTCACTATATTTTTCTAGTTGATAATCACATAAAAAGAAGTTGAGATATGCTTAAGTATTTTGTTATCTTGACTAAGCTATCTTTTTATACTGGCTTTAGATCTGCCATAAATAGTATTTAAATCTTCATGTATTCAGGTAATACTAAAAACAACAGAGTAGGGTTCAAGAGCGAAGTCGTACTGCTGACTGTACTAAAGTGTGATGGTAGTAAGATGTTCCCCTCAGGCAGTCAACATCTGCAACTATGCTACTTTATCACAACGGAAGAAGCGGATTATGAATGATCGGCCCTAAAAATAGCATATCTTACCCCAAGGATTTCCATTACTGACGGTAAGTCCTTCAAAACACGGATCTGGCTCATGAAAGACGTTTCTAAAAGGCCGTGTGTGATCAAATTTAAGCAGTCAGTTGTCTCTTTGGCTCTGCAGTTACATTTGTAGGTCTCTAAAACCACGATTAATGCACTTTCGTTTTCAGATACCTCAAGAAATATTCTACAGTATAGATAACCAATGAGTGATACTCGAAGTCACTTGTTATTCTGATCTTAATCATTTTATATCGAATTGATCAATTTACTTAGTTAACTGCTCGTAATTTTGTTAATTCTTAATGCCTTTTAGGTCGATTGGTTTGATGTATGTGAATGTGCAAATCTTGTGGGTCAACTGTATGAATTATATTATCGTGATCCTCCGCCATCTAGTCGCAGAAGAACTGGATTATTTGTAACTAGACGTCAGTTTCGTGTTGGTTATTCGAGTCCTACACCATTGGATACAATCTCTGAAGACTATGAGTGAGTTACCAGGTGTCTTACTTTTAACATGCCAGTCATCTACCTTATTTTTCAAAAGGATTTTAATACAGCTGTTGAGTGAACATCCATCCGTCCTAAAATACATGGGTTTATTTTTTTATATTTGACCCTGTAATAATATGTCATATTATTGATTTGACAAATAGTTTTCAGAAATCCACATATTTGTAAACTTTTTATGCTACATTCTACCAACACATTATGAATTATGAATATGGGATTGGTTGAAGTTAGACGCCGGCTCAGTAGTTCAGAGGTTAAGCGCTCGAATCCCGCATACGGGATCATGTGTGAGCACTGATGAGAAGTCCAATACTAGGACAAAACGGCCGTTCAGTGCTTCTATGTTTTCAATGGTAGTTCAAGATTGATCGGTCCATTATTTCAATAAAAACCTTATGAATTACCAAACTTTTCATTCCATAGTTTTCTACCTTCGTTTTGTTCATTAAGGTTTGAATAGATATTAGATTTATAAAAGTTAAGTTATTCTAACATATTTTAGCCTGTAAACAATGTTGTACTTTGAATTACTGAGCAATAAAATAAAGTACTTGGTCCATATACAGTTACTAATCAATCCAATCTGGAACTTCACACATTTAGTATCTATTTTTTTTCTTATATAAAGCCTGTTATTTGGATTAAGTGTATTTCTATTGACTATTCACTTAAATAATAGTTAAATAAATCTTATATAATTTTGGGGCCTCTCGAAATAATCAACTAATAAGCGAGTTAGCTTAGTGCTTGAATCACTTGACTATCAACTACCTTAGTTGAAGATTCCACCTTTAGTTTGACCAGCCATTAGTATTACCAGATTTCACAATGAATATGTGTCCTTTATAGCTTCACTTTATAAAACTGTTGGATGATATTCCCTTATCACTCAATTATCATACGATTCAAGGGTACAACTCTCACCTTTTCTGTTGTCCTTCAATCTCCCTGCCAAAAAGGAAACAATATTAACATATTATTCTCATTATTATCCTATTTTCAGACCGGTTGAAGAAGATGAATGGCTACTTCCACTTCTTTTTGAACCGTGAAGAAGTTCCATTGGTTCGCTGACATGTCTCAATCCATATTCAACAGCCGTTGTGTATAACAATGCACTACTACTTTCACTATATTATACATATTTAATGTCTTAATTTTTGAGTGCATCTTTATTATTCTTACTACTACATTCACAAATTCATTCACTTAACTATAAACATTCAGTATACTTCAGAAATCAATATTTTCATTTAACAGTGTATTAAGAAAAATCATTCTTTTTGACAAAAAGTCCTCTTTATCGTGAAATGATATATATATATATATATATATATATATATATATATATATATATATATATATATATATATATAATGTTAAACCCGGTGTTAAGAATTTATTTGAAGTTTCTGCATAATGATAAATGAGTAATACTTTGGTAAAAGAAGTGTCCCTTCACTAATTACACAAATACTATTCATCATTATTGTTATTATTATTGTTAACATCAGCATTATGATCATCCTTGAAAGAAAGAATTTTTCGTCATCAACTCAGGGATTATTTTCTCTTTTAATATATACATATACAAATACATTATAGCTGAACTTTATTCTGGTGTCTTCGACCATTCTTTCAATTAGATATGATCGTGTTGTGTCTTTCTTTTGTATACTTATCTCAACATTTTTTCTTAATATTACCATTGCTCTACAATGGTAATGTTTGTGCAGCTAGCTAATCAATTTTATTTGTAAGATTGTTTGTTCCTTTCGCACACATACACACACAAAAGTGTACAAGACTAATATTATCGTTGGGATTTGACAGAGGAAAGAGCATAGGATTATCTTTTCATTCTTATTCCTGGCATTCTGTATAATTCTTGTATACATCATTATTAATGAGCATATTCATCATATAAAAAATGTACGACTTCCAAAAAAGAATTATGACTAATGTTTTTTTCATCTTCGTATACGACTGTATGTGAGTGTGTACGTACAAACAGTCCAATTCATATTTCAATACTTTCATTATGAGCCTTTTTTGTATATTCTCTGCGTCGAATGACGTTTTTGTCCCAGTCGATATATATATATTATATTGATGCGCTCACGTTCGAGTGCATCCTTGAAAATAAAATGCATTTCATTTTCCGTTATATACTCGTTCACTCTTCAATGTCTTTCCCTGTTCATGTTCCTTCACGTATTCTATCAGTCAGTATTCTATGCAAATCTTTGAAATGGACACAGTTTTTACTCATTAAATATCTGTATATCACACATGAAAATTGAAAGTTTACTGTACAAAGTAAGAACACTATAACAATATTCAATTAGTTAGTTGTGTTTTAAAAAATATATTCACATAAATTATTTTGTGTATTTGTTGCTTTCATTACTTGTTTTTTTTCTCTTGTAGTTTACTTGAATTAATTTAAAGACAGGGAGCACATTAAAGTGGTCCTTCCTCATTCTTTCACTATATGCTCATCCTCATGTGTTGTTGCATTGTTTTTTTCTCCTACCGTACACAATTTACTTTCTGTGTATGTTAGGAAGGCTTTCTCTTGATTTTCTCTTCTTTTCTAGTTGTTTTCCTCACTAATTATTTGTTTTGTTGAATCCATTTTGCTTTAGTGTTTCGTTCGTCAGTAATGTTGTGACCTTTAAAAAACAGTTTATTTGCTTTATCATTTTCGATGTTTTTAAAAGACTGATTAGAAATTTCTAAATTCGTTTTTTGTAAGCGAATTAGCAAACTGAATTAAAGATTGTCAAAGTAAGCTGTTATATTTATGGTGGTTGGAATCGACACTAGTTACTTCTTTAATAACTTATTTTCTAAGACAGAGTTAGAGTGACGAGGATAAATAACAAAGCTTTATGATAAAAAAAAGGTGATTTAGTTCAATTCTAGAAAACACTACATTGAAGTTTACGAGTAGACAAGAGAGTATAAAAAACTTGAAAGTGGGTGTTGTTCAATTAGTTTCCTTAAAAAACTTGTAAAGGTTTACGAAAGAGATAAATTTATCTGTGCCATCGCAGGCATCTTATCGTGGATTTTTTTCAACTTAGAGACCACAGTCAGGTAACTTGTTCTGTTCAGATAAACAAGTTGACGTTACAGTTTTTCTAATATTCGTTTGTTTGGTCTTGATTCAAGTACCTTTCCCATAAAAATGGTCTGTGCAACAAGTCCAAGCGGCTACCATTGATATAGGTCCGATTACTCACTCTTTTCGAGTCAGACAACAATAACACTTATTATGAGCTTTCTTTCCATAGCACTGTTTAGACATTTGCGATAGAACTGAGGTCACCTACTTTACTAATAAAGCACGGACGACCAATATATTTGGAGGACATGATTTTTCAATCGAATAAGTCATGACCTAGACATAACCGACATGTTTTGACACCCTAGTCTAGATCTCTAACATTGCAATGAAGTATTTCAGTAGATACTATATCGGTTCTCTGTGAATGCACTAGTATTTTGTCAACCGTCAGCTCTTCAAGTTCCATACAAACCTTGGTGTGCTAATTCAAACGTGTATCCGAGGCTTGTGCGTTAATTCATCACTGTGATGTCACCACTATCATGCTAACCTGGTTTAATTGGTCTGATCTGACTAGGAGTTTTGCTACCAACTACGATGGTTTCACTTTCCTTAATTATGTAAATAAAGGGCAAAGCCCCATTAGAAGGGCGACGGAGGTATTCCATGGATCACTTGGACTGATTTGGTTAAATCTATCATATGGTCGCTGTTTATCAGGTGCACCAATATGGCACTTTATGTTGTCTTCGTCTACTTGCAATTTAACGAGTGTATCAAACAATGTGCTGTATAATAAATTAGATTGATTAAAGGAAAAGTGTGCTCAGCCAATCTTATTTGCGTTTTTTCTAGTTGGAAAGTGGTGTAAACTCAAAAAGAGGATAAGTTATCTGAGTTTATCTCTTCGATGTTTAACTGCTAACTCAGCTTATGTGAAAATGGACAACTTAACCAACGAACATCCCTCTGCGTGGTTTGGAAAGGATCAAACGGAAATTGTATATAGTTCAGTTCTGGCACATTCGGTGGATAGCAGTCATTTGATAGATAAAGCCTAATCATTTCAGGGGGTTTGTTGTATGCCTGTATCTTTCCTCAGCAATGTTCGATCACCTCTTGTATGTATAACAGGAGCTATACGAGTTCGAACCTACATGTTTGAATAATTGTTTCTGTTAGTCATTCAATTTATTATTCTAGATGATATTTGTGTCAAATAATTGTAAAAGTAAGTCTATCATGAACTGTTATCAAATGTCAATCTATTAAACATTCACTTTATATTAGATTAACGTTCATCAGAATTCTTTGTTTTTGTTCATCTTCTATCCCTCTAGCAATGAAATTTCTGCTCCATATATCAATTTATTCGAATTTACGCAATATTTATTTTCAATAGTTAAATATGTAGACACATCAAATTAATGGGATAAACTTCATGGTTAATGTTTACTTTAACTTGGCAAAATACAGAGTATAAGCTCACCCGTGGTAAATGACGTAATTATGTGACAAACACTGGAAAATAATTAATAGAATAAAACCAAAATGTTATGTATACCAAATGGACAGCAATTAGACCTAGTTACCATGACAGAATTATGCCTTTTCTTATTTTTTTCAAAATAAAAAAGGTCATACGTAAATGTTTTTTAATGACATTCGATATAGATATAACTTAATAGCAATAAGTTTATAATTATCAAATGATTGACGTACCACGTAAATTATTGATCCAAGACAAGTTGATATACTTATAGATAATCTGAAAAATATTAATCTTACAAAGACATGGCTATTAACACCATGTTATAACACAAGTGTCATGTCGTTGACATATCACCGGAGTTTTTCGTTTGATGAGTTGTAGATAATATAGAATGGGTTCCAATTACTGACCCTATAAATCCATGTAAACTAGCTTTTATGAACTGAATGATCCGACTTTGAATACAGAACACCTACAAGAGGTGTGATATTTAAAAGCACTAAGATTTCTCAGAATCTAAAATCTGGTCTAGGTAAATCCTATTCCATCTCAATGGCTTTATTCGACTTAATTCTTCTGCAAATTCGACAGAAATGTATTAGTACAATGGGATATCATTAACAAGGATAGCAGATAGAACAAGTTTAATGTATCAAAGATACATAAACATAAGTTATTTTTAATAATTTTTTTAAAATTTAATTTGAAAGTAATCTGAATAATATGTATTAGTTGGTTGAATCTTCTCATATTTACTTAAGACTGCAGCTGATCAATCTCTTTTGACAGATATGTATCCCGTGCGGACTGTACAGGCATTTCAAGTAGATGAATTAAAATTCATCCTATTCCACAAGTAAATAGCCATCTGAACTCAGTAGCTAGGTGGATAACGCGTTGTTGTTTGAAGTTAAAGGAACCTGGATTGGAATGCCGATATGGACATCAACTCTTGAATCCAGACAGATCTAGTTCACAGTTCCTAGATAGAATGAAACGCAAATCCGACTAGCCACCGAACAAAACAACATTATCTGAAAAAATAGATTTATGGGCTTACGTTACCTCAAGGCACAACTTAGTCATATTCAAATTAAAGCAATGATGTTAGCCAGCGTATGTTCATCTACTTTTTTTCTTAAATATTAATTCTTGATTTAAATAAAGGTATATTTTGTAGACAACTAATTGTATGTAGAACAATGTCCACTTAGCGATGGTCCTATAATTAACTATTATAAAATATGAAAAGATACTCTAAGGTATAATGAAATAAGATTATTTTCTTATTTTTAACAGACTCAACTTTTGTGGTAAAAGAAAAAAGAATTGAATATTATGTTCTATACTAAATAGTGGATTATATGAAATGACTTTACATAGTGATAAACTGCTCAATATTTCTAAATATAAAAGCAAGTAGATTTACAATCTACTGACATGTACGGGAATATGAAAACTCTTTAGATATGTAAATTATTATTTAAAAATAAATAAAAACAAATGGTTGCTCCGGTTGTCAGACTCGTGGCTTTCGAAGGAACTTGGCTTTCATCGTGAGGCGTCATAACTCTTCTGAATGAAGACCTTTTGACTCCCAGGGCAGAGTTTA